ATGTGCGACGACCGATGCAGAGCGTCTGCGTGGGGGGGCGTGGTCACGCACAGAGACAGATTTGATGGTTGCAAAGGCGATGCATCAGAAGCAAAAATGGACCTTTACTCTGCAGCACTCAAAGACAAACCGCTCCTCTCTGCTGCAAGAGATCAGAGGAAATACAAGTTTGCTGTTGCACCAAAAATGTGCACTATTTATTTATTGATTTATATTCATTTTAACAGTTTGAAGTTAAGCAGGACAGACTTATGTTTAAGATTATGCTTACTTGTTTTACTATTATTAAAGTGAACTGCTGGATAATATTTTTTGTTTTCCATGTGTTCATGTTACGAATATGCATCTAATTCTATGCAGATTTAAATCTTAAAAAATCATTTCACTGAAAAAAATTCACCGTACCAGGAGGGGTGAAGGCAATGGGGTCAGCTAGCACCAACATGAGGGGCCCTTTGTTTTTAGGGATTTGGCAGCTTTATTCAGTGTTCCTCCTTCTTTCACCTGAAGTTTCCTCTGCGACTCAGAGAAAATGAAACCTCAGTCTGGTTCTGAAAGCAGCTTTGGTCTGCTTCACCTGAGCAGCAGCTGGGCCTGCTGCTCCAGAGGGTTACGGCCTGGTTATCCTCCCGCAGCAGCGAGTCGCACTGAGCTTCACCCAGACATTTTTAGCGTTGTTCAGGAGGTGGTGCAGCTTGGGGTCACCAGCATTCAGAAGTTATTTCATGCATCGCTGAACTGGCCGTCTCTAATGAGGCACCGCTGAGCCGCTGCTCAGCTGTAAACACTGAAAATGACAGTCCAGGTGTAGACTGGACTCCCAAAGGATCCCTTCCCTGGTGGAGGTAGCTGTAGGTGGTGCTGATGGAGCTCTGCTGCTCCTCCGTCCCTCAGACGGCGGAGATGCTTCAGCAGTGTGAGGTAGACTTCCTGGTTTTAAAGTTGCAGCCTGAGCTGACTGAGGATGAGTGTGATCCACGTCTAACTCTTCTTCTCTCTTGTTTTTCAGGACCATGGAAAAGGGGAAGAAGAAGAAGATTTTTTAAGTTCTCTGGACTCGTAATGATCTGCTGTCGGTGTCCCCCCCCAACCATCTAACCGTACCACCATCAAGTGGAAGCCAGGGGGCAGCGCTGCTCCATCTCTGAATTTAATCTTAAATAAGACTCATTCTGTGTGCTCTGGATCTATGCTGATTTAATGTGTTTCTGATACCAAAAAGGCGTCTAGTCGCCCTTCACTCTCTCTTCTTCTGCTTCGGGATCGTTTCACACCAACACCCAGACCGGGACATTTTAGGCTTCTGCTCATTTTTGTCAGGAATATTTTCCAAAAAAAAAAAGAAAAAAGATTTTTAAAGATTATTTAGCAGGAAACGTTGGTTGGACTGCATCTATTTTTTGTAATGTTTTATTGTACAAAGTCACATAATAAAACTGTGATGGAAAAATTAAGCATCCTGATTATAAGTCAGACACAGAGATGGAAAAACATCAAACACACCTGGAAATAGATGATCTTTATTGTTCCTCGCTGGGAGCTGATTACATTAAGCTTTGTATAAAAAAATGGTTCAAACTGCTGACTCAGAACTGACAGAGAAATATAAGCTATTGGCTTTGTTTGAAATGTGAACAGTCCCACACATTCTCATCCTGATGGGGTTGCTAGTTCTCTGCGTATTGCCTTAGACAACGCAGCTCCTTTGAAAATGAAAAATGTTAAAAATAGAAAGCT